TTGTAATTAAGTATTATGTTCTTATATTTAATTCTGAAATGAACAATACAAACAAATTAAGAATTTAAATGCAAGGTGGGTGTGGTAGCAAACTCTGTAGTTCCTCCTACTTAGAAGTCTGAGGTGGGAGGATCATTTCAGTTCAAGAGTTCAGGACTAGTCTGGGCAACATTGTGAGATTCTATCTCAATTAAAAAAATAATGATTCAAATATAATTGTCAGTCCTATAGAATGTCATCTAGTTCATACGAACCTAGCCTAAATATGTATACTGTAATTGACAATATACAAATTATATTTTACTGAAAAAAAAATGTATTGCAGGGCTGGGTTGTAGCTCAGGGGTAGAGTGCTTGCCTAACACGCGTGAAGCACTGGGTTTGATCCTTAGCACCAAATAAAAATAAATAAATAAAATACTCTGTCCATCGACATCTAAAAAACATTTTAAAAAATGTATTGCAGGGCTGGGGTTGTGCCTCAGTGGTGGAGCACTTGCCTCGTACAGGTAAGGCACTGGGTTCAATCCTCAGCACTATAAATAAATAAATAAATAAATAAATAAATAAATAAATAAATAAATAAATAAATAAGTTGTGTTCATCATTAAAAAAATAAATAATAATAATAATAAGTATTGCAAAGATACAATAGTTATTGATAATTATTTTCTAGGGAGGAAAAAAAATCCTAGACCTAGCTGGTACAAACATTAATAACCAAGCTTAAAAGTGCATCCAACACTACCTGTAGTAAGATCTTTTTTTTTTTTTTTTTTTTTTTGGTACTGAGGACTGAACTCAAGGACCACTGAGCCACATCCCCAGCCCTATTTTGTATTTTATTTAGAGACAGGGTCTCACTGAGTTGCTTAGTACCTTGCTTTTGCTGAGGCTGGCTTTGAACTTGCAATCCTCCTGTCTCAGCCTCCAGAGCCGCTGGAATCACAGGTGTGCACTCGGGTTGTAGTAAGATCTTTAAGATTTTAAATGCTGACTGCCTTGGACTGATCTGTTAACTTATTCACAATAAGTCAGTATTACTTAAACTATACATTTCCTTTTCTGATTCAAAATGTTTTTGCCTAGTCAAAAGGGGAAAACAGTAAAGACAAATGAAGTCCTGTTTTATGGTTTTTTTTTAATTTACCATGAATAACAGAAAATATCTTAATTAATTCTACTTTTAATAGGTAGCTATCTTAAGACTTAGTTGATGGGACTTAAAAAAATCAAGATGATGATATGTTCCATTATTTATTGTTTTCTGACAGCAAAGCATACCTATCAATAGAATAATTTGAGCCATACATACTATATAGGAGCATGCACTTGTATTTTAATCAGAAGATAAAGTCCACTTATTTTATTTTCTACTTTACTATAAATATAACAATTCAACTCTTTGGTATAAACCAATTAGATGACATATCGCAAGAAGAAACTGTTCCTAATATTTTAAAATATATATATTTCTATTTGAGCTCTTCTTCCATTTAAATCATGCATGAGCTAAAATATCCTCTAGTTATATGTAGTACACAAAAATCTTTCAAAAGAGGATGAAGTCATGAAGCAGCTTAGGCAGATCACAAAAACCACAATACAGCAAGGTACAAATAAATGGTAAGGACATGTTGGAGGTATATTTTGTTTTTTAAATATTTAAAGCTGTACCTTCCTTAAAACATACCATAGGAGGGCAGCAGAATAGAATAGACAATATGATTGATGTATGTACATTCCATGTATGTATTATATGTCAAAATACATTCTGCTGTCATGTATGACTAAAAATAAATAAATAAATAAAAATTAAAAACAAAAAACACATCATAGGATCCAAGGACAAAAATTAAAAGATGTAAGATAAGTACAGTACTAAAAAGATGGTAAAAAATTAACCAAAAAATTATCAACTCAAAATAAACAACTAATATGCAGAAATTATTTTTTTAGTTGTCAATGGACTTTTATTTATTTATATGCGGTGCTGAGAATCAAACCCAGTTCTCACACATGCTAGGCAAGCGCTCTACCACTGAGTCACAGTGCCAGCCCCAAAAATGTGTTTTAAATTGAGCTCCTGAATTTATAAACTAAGACTTTACCAAAGTAAGTTAGAAATGTCTATAGAAAACTAACAGTGAGCCCGGCACAGTGGCATACACCTATAATTCCAGCCACTCCTAGAGCAGAGGCGAGCCTGGAGTACCTAATGAGTGAGACCCAGTCTCAAAAAGAGCTGGGAATGTAGCTCAGTGAGAGTGCAGGGTTGGGGGGTGACACAGGTACTAAGCTGTCTCCAGTGATTTGGAAGGGGCTGGTAGTTAGGTAAGAGGGGCAGGCTTCTCAATAAACAGTCTAGTGTTCTAGACTAAGACCAGCAGCACAAAAACTGCTACAGTGAGAATGTTAGAATGCTCACTTTACTTGGTGGGCTCTATGCAGAATTTATATCATAACAGGCCAAAGTCATTTCAGAAGACAAAAGAGAAAGAGAATCCTAAAACTTTTCTATTTCTACTACTGCACAAAACAGTTTCCTTCCCTAGTCCCTCTTTAAAGGCAAAATGATTTTGGCACAGATTAAAAATCTGTGTCATAGATTTCTGATCCTAATAGCTTCATTCCTATGACATAAACATTTGAAATGACCAATTAAATAATATACTGTGTTCTCCATCTTACAGCTTCTGATATAACTAAAATTCATTACTCTAGTGAGTGTATATACAGGACTTCTTTACTTAAAAACAAACAAAAAATCTTGGGCCTGCAAAGTGGCACACACCTGGAATCCCAGAGACTTAGAAGGCATCCAAAATTTGAAAATGGCATCAGCAACTTAGTGAGACCCTGTCTCAAAAATAAAATTTAAACGGCTGGGGGTATAGTTCAGTGGTATAGGACCCCTGGGTTCAATCCCCAGTACTGGGGTTGAAGGTTCCTTGGGAAAAAAATATCAATTCTTTTAAGCCCCGATTTCCTTATGGGTAAAATGAAGGGGTATGCTTGAACTCTGTGGTTTCCTGAAACTGTAAACTAGAGAAATCTATACAGGTTTAAACTTAGTCATGCTCAAGAAATACAAAGTTCCGAAATGAGAATGGATGAAAGATGGTCTGGCATCAACACAAATATGGGGATATTTACAGAGTTGCCATGGCTTTGGGGAACAATATTCGCAAACCTACAGGTAAGGAAGCAAATGGAGTTAGCCATACTCATTAGGGTTAGGTTTTTAAGGATAGGAAATGATGGCCAGTTAAAAAAAAAAAAAAAAAAAAAAGCTAGTTTCCAGTGCAGATGCTGGGGAGGACGTACAAATTTCTAATGGGCTTCTCTCAGCAGTTACATTTTGATAGCCAACCAAAAGGGTTCTTCTTTGTGGCATCTAGCCTAAGGAGGCCAAGTTCCAAAGTCCTTTGCTAAAAATAAGCAAAGGTAAAGCCCAATTTTGGAATAAATTAAGGTCTATTCTGCACACTCATATGTATATGTATCATGTAATAAGGGAGAACTCCGCCAACAGGAAAGCAGATACTAATGTTGTATTTGTTCCGTTCACATTTAAATACTAAATTTTAGAGTGTAATTTATATGATTACAGAAACTGATCACACACAAATGAAAACCTTTGCAATCAAATGCTAGACATACATCATATACGCAACAAAAATAAAGATTATCCAACTCCTGTACCTCAAAATATACCTTAGACAACAAAATTTGAGAAATAGGATACCAGCCATCATTAAATCCAGTTCTTTCATGTTATAGATAATTTAAAACCTCCAAAGAAATTTAAGATAGATGACATGCCTCAAAATGAAAAGATATTTTTAAGACTAAGGTGATAGTGATAAAGAAAAAACACGTTAGAACATTTTAATATGAAAATTATTGTAATATGTGACTTAAGAAGAAGAAAAACAGAAAACACATTAATATGATAAAAATGAAAAAAATGTATAAGAAGCAAAGATAAGGATACATATCTGCATACTGCATTCAAGAAAAAATTACTTTGAAATTACCATAGTGAACTCTTTCGTCGTGGCAATCACAAAAACACACAAAAATTTTTGACAATAAATCTATAAGTTTGAGGCTAACAATCTCCCACAAACTCCATCTTCTGTCATAGCACTGTCTGCAAAATAAAGCTCATGCAGTACAAGAACTGACCGTCCCAGAACATCCGCATTTTTGCCACGGCTGTGCACATCCACTCTCCTGGGATAGCGAACACAAAACTGACAGAACTTCCTCATGACTTGTCAATTAACAAGATCACACAAGCCCAACCGCCAGCATTACCGTGTGCCTGCCACCTGTTAGCTGCTCTTGAGAGAGCCCCAAAACCGAGCTCCAGCAAAGCACTGGGAACGCCTTTGTTGTTCTCTTAACTACGGAAGCTACCAGAGTTCAGTCTAACCCCGCGCCTGAAAGCAAAACTTCCCCCAGGCTGGGCAAGTCTTCCAAGGTTGGGGCTTTGACAAAGCCCTCCTGTAGCTACAGCGAAGCACAAATGTCATCTGCTAGTCCCAGAAGGGGGTAAGGGTCAAAGGTGAGGAAAGTTTGGGGACGGATATCTAGGATCCTAATAAAAGCTCAGTTTCGCGGGGGAGGAGGGTGAGCACAACGAGGAGGTGGGCCGTCCCCTGGGTGAAAGAACTGTGAAATCCCGGCTCAGGGGTCGGGGAAGAAAGGTGCTAAAACGAGACTAGAAGGAAAACGGAGAGACAGTGGATCAGGCGAAAGACAAGAAACCGAGTTTAAAAGGGATGGTTATGCTGAGGAAAGAAAGGCTAAACTGAGGTGAAAGAGGCGAGGCCAGCGTGAAGGAAAGGGCCGAGATGAGGGAAGCACAGCAGAGACAAGGAACAGGCGGAGAGACCCCCATCCACAAGGTCCAAGGCAGAACTCTTGACCCGTCTTCCTACAGGATGTATTCGACTGGCTGCGCACAGACCCTGTCGGCAGCGGAGACTCACCCAAAGGCTGCAGAAGCCCCACAGCAAGACATGGGGACCGGTCCAGACCCACGGTAGAACCAGCACAGTGGAGGAAACCGCGGCGTTAGAGTAACCCGGATGCGCATCCTTAGGAACCGGAAATAAGCGACCAGGGTCACCTCGCAATCCACACCCCGTTAGGACCAGAAGCCCCTGGGCGCGTGTGTTGGGCCTCTGGGGGCGGGGAAATGCTTAGACCCTGCCCACTCCGCGACCCTGGCGAGCCCCGCCCCTGGTCACGCCCAGCTCGGCGCCCTCGAGTCGAGTAGCGAAGGCTGAGCTGATCCTAGCTGCGCTGCTAAGCCACAGTAGACCAGTTAAGGAGTACCACAGCCCTCTTTTTCAAGGAGGTCTTTTTAAAATGCGCGTCATCCCTGCCTCCCTAAAGGGAACGTGAGGAGAAATGCTGGATTTAGAAAAACTGTGGGAGTTAGAATGGGTGGGAAGTTCGGGAAGACGCTCGGAGGCTAGACCAAGATGATCTTTTTATGCCCATAGTTTATTCCTAATATTGCATTGAGCTTACAGTTAACCTCAGTTCTTGCACATTGTCTTCAGAAGCAAAATTTTTAAATTCTTCGTTAATTTTACATTACAACCCAAATATGGACAAAGGGCAAGGTTGAATTCAGGTTTTGTGTCCGAAGTATATTCAATTTAGGAGACCCTCTTTAAGAAAAAGAATCCAAAATTACACAGTATTAGATATAGAAGTGAGGTGTTTTTTATATAAGAGAAGAAATCACATTTTTTTAAAAAAACTCACAAATTAAAAATCGAGAAAAAAGCTCGGTGTGGTGGTACATACCTGTAATCCCAGCTACTCAGGAGGTTGAGGCAGTTCTGGGCCAGACTGTCCTGTCTCAGAAATAAAAAGGGCTGGAGATGTAGCCCAAAAGTACAATGTCCCTTGGGTTCGATCCCCAGTACCACCAGTAAATAAACAAATAAATATTTTAAAATCCAGAGGAAAGCCAATACTTTATTATCTTAGTGCTTCTTACATCTCTCAAATACATTTATCTATACTTTTTGGCTGTATACTAATTCCTCACCTCTTTTAATGACAATTTACTAAGAAACATCATTTGGTAAGATCCTTCACTCTTCTTTCTCACATCCCACATCTAATTCATCAGCATCATCTATAGGAGCTACTTTCAAAAATCTGTCCAGAATCTGTCCATTTACTGTCTCTGTTGTTATAAGCCACAAACTGTGACTCTGAGCGTCCTATTTATACCCTTGCCCTCCCACATCTGTTAACACAGTAGCGATGATTGGAGTTCAATCCCAGGGCTGAAAAGGCCTAAGCATACTGTATTCTAATTCCAAAGAAAGAACTTCCGAAACAACCAGCCATTAATACTGATTTAGTGATTACCCCAACAGGTGGGCTCCTGTTAAAACCTTAGTCAGATCATGTCCCTCTTTCAATGAATTCCTGTCTTCAAGTAAAAACCAAATGCTTAGGCTGATCTACAAGACCCTCAAGATTAGACACTCCCCCCCAGTACACCTCCATTCTGTCATCAGTCAGCTTAAGGCAAACTGGCCTCTTTGCTGTTTTTCAAACCTGCAGATAGGCTCGGGGCCTTTGTACTTGCTGATTCTTGTGCTTGAACTGCTTCCCCCCCCCCCAAACACCTGCACCAATTCACCCTGTCACTTCATTTATGTCTTTTTTCAAATATCACTTTCCCAATGAGAACTTCCCTGACACTATAAACACCATCATCCTTCTTGTACCTTCTAACTGTTTCCCACATAATTTTTCTCTAATAAAGTGTTCTCCCCTCCAACAAGTAGCTTATAAACTTGATTTAATGTCCCTCCCTCCCCAGAAGAATATGAACTCCACAAGGGCATGTATGTTTGGCCATTTTGTTCATGGAAATATTTAGCACCAGAACAGTCTGGCACATTGTAGGTGCCCCCATAAGTGTTTGTTGAATGAAAGAATTAATTATTCATTTATTTGGGGGCAAATTGCTTATTAATTTGTTTTTGCTGTTGAAAAACCACCTAAACTTAACCACCAACTCCACCAGGGGGAGACCATGAGCGTGCAATGTGACATCTTCAGAAATGTTATTCCTGAAGCATTTAGGGTACATAAACATGATTCTAAAACAGAGCTATAAAGAAGCTCACAAATTCCTCCTCAAAGCAGAAAAGGCTGTGGCAATTAAAAACAAACAAATAAACAAAAACCTTCCAATGCCTTTTACAGTCCTTTGAGAATAAATTCTAAGCTACTTGCTATGGTTTTTAATAGGCCCTTCTTGGCCTGCCCTTCCCAGCTTTCAAATGGCATGTCCAGGCTCCTTTCCCTCACATATCCTGAGCTCCAGTCATGCTGGTACTTTTTTCTCTCTCTTTCACAAACCAAAATTCTAGCCTCAGGGCCTGCTATTCCCCGTCTCTCTCTCCCCAACCCTCCAATGCATGGTCCTTTTTATTTTAAATATTTTTTTTAGTTATTGATGGACCTTTATTTTTCATTTGCTTGCTCAGAATCTAACCCAGTGCCTCACACATACTAGGCAAGTGCTCTACCACTGAGCCACAACCCCAGCCCCCCAATGCATGGTTCTTTATACTGGTCTCAGTTAAATCTTACCTCTGAAGGTCTCCCCTCATTTCCTGTCTGTCTTCTTTTTCAAGTAGCTCCTTTGTCCCTTCTACATATGTTATTCTTTTTTAAAAATATTTTTAGTTGTAGATGGACACAATATCTTTGTTTTATTTATTTATTTTTGCATGTGGTGCTGAGGATCGAACCCAGTGCCTCACGCATGCGAGGCGAGGGCTCAGCCACTGTGGTACAACCCCAGCCCCTGTTATCATTTCTTCATGTTCCTATTGCCACTTTCAATTATCTTGTTTACTTATTTATTATCTGTCACTAAAAAGTGGAGTCTTTATCTCTCTTGTTCATTGCTTAATTGGAAGCACTGCATGAGTGATTGGCATATAGTGGGTGCTAAATAAACAAAACAAAGTAATTACTAACATTTACTGAAGTTTTTACTATGTGTCACTGACTTTACATAGTAAATATATAAGTGTTGTGGTTCTTTTTTAATTTTCCCACCAAACTTGGAAAGTATTATGATAATCTTCAGTTTACAGGTGAGAAAACTGAGGCAGGCTAAAGTTTTGTATTCCCTAAGACCATACTTGGGAGTATATTTAGGTTAACACTACTTAATAAACTATCTTAAAACTCAGTGACTTGAAACGGCAACCACTATATTATTTCCTTTGTTTGTTTGGGTTTTGTTATGTGGTGCTGGGGATGGAACCTAGGGCTTTGCACATGCCAAGCAAGCCTACTACCACTAAGCTGCACTCCTAGCCCAACCACTGTCTTATATCTCACATATTTTGAGTCAGGAATTTAGTGCTCAACCAGGTGATTCCTCTGTTCCATACAATATCAAGCAGAGTCAGTAGTGTTCTAGCTGGCAGTCTAGTAGGCTAGTCTGGAGGGTCCAACTATGTCTCTTACTCATGACACTGGAACTTAAAAGGAAGGACTGAAAGGTTCCCCTGGCCATGTGGTCTCAGAGCTCGCCACGTGGTCTCTTCATCAAGAAAGTTGAATGTCTTACAGGACAGCTGATGATGTCTCCAAAGAGACAAGTTGCAAACACTGTCATTCTTTTAAATCTCGCCTGGATGGCATAGCATCACTTCCATCCCAGTCTATTAGTTAAAGCAATCATAGAGCTCACCTAAACTCAAGGGAGGTAACATATACGCCACCTGCGTTGGGTGGGATGTCAAGGAATATGTAGTCTTCTTCCATCACCACAAAATATTTCCTTTGCCCCCTTTCTCTGATTCTTTTTTTTCTCTCTAGGGCTGCTGTCAGAATAACACAGATTTATTGCCGTTTCTGAAATCTATCTGATGTTCACCAAAAGAGTTTCTGAGAAAACATTCATTTTGGTCTGAATCTCCCTGCTTTTTTTTTTACCAACTACTTTGTAATAATTTAAGCTCTGAAGACAGAGTAAAAAATAAATCAAACAAACCCTCATGGAGTTCACATTCTTATCAATCCACAGACAGAACATGGTGTTGAATATATGCAGCTAAAGCTCAACTGAAGCTCATCATCCTTTTTCATTTCATTCTATGGAGCCTTTCCTAAACTGTAGAGGAAGTGCTCACATTTCTTTTCTTTTCTTTTCTTTTTCTTTTTTGAAATGAAATTCTATCTGGGTGTGGTGGCATGTGTCTATGTGGTCCCAGCTACTTGGGAAGCTGAAGCAGGAGGATTGCTTGAGCCCAGGAGTTAGGCACCAGCCTGGCATCATAGTGTGACCCCATCTCAAAAAAGGAATATGTAGTCTTCTTCCATCACCACAAAATATTTTCTTTGCTTTATGCAAAGCCCTGGGTTCAAACATATTTTTTTCCTCAGGCTCCAGATACAAACTAGATATTGTCAATTAGATGCTCTTGGGTAAGATTTTCAAGGTAGAGTTGAGGAAGAGGCATTTTCCTCTCCATTGGCTATTTCTGTTGGCCTTTATGATCATCAATAGAGACATGGGGTTTTCTAGAGCAGGATGTCAGTTTTTTTTTTCTTTTGTACCTGGATTGAGCCCAGGGGCACTTACCTACGGAACCACATCTCCAGCCCTTTATTTTTTATTTTGAGACAGGTCTTGCTAAGTTGCTTAGGGCATCACTAAGTTACTGGTGCTGGCTTCAAACCTTCTGCCTCAGCCTCCCGAGCTGCTGGAAGCACATGATTTTCTTGATTGTCCTCCCAGACAGTACACAACAGCTCCACAGCTTTCCAGGATTGAGTGGACATGCTGAGCTCCCTGGCCACAAGAAAACCAAGAACAAAATGTGTTTTATAGTAGAGGACAAGCCTTAGTAGCCAAAAACTACTTAGACACTTAGGAAGCAGCAATCCTAGTGTACTAGCTGTAGCGGCAGTCCCTTCAAAGTCAGGATGGCTGGGTCTATTCCTTGTTCCCTAGCAATGTTTGGCTATGAAATGGGATTAAGAACATTTTCCCTGATTTATGGTGCACTGTAAGCTGTATAGCACTATAAAAATAAAATC